ATTTTGAACATATTTTATTTATCTAGTTTCACATTAATCATTGAGTAAGAAGGGTTTTAACTGGACGTTGCACTCAAATGTGTGTGTTTTCTCTTGTTCTGCAGGGGGTTCATCCATGTGACAAGAGAAGAAGTGTTAGCGAGTACCGGCCTCTTTTTCCTGCAATTGATTTTTCACTGGCAAGTGATTTATTGTAACTTTTGAAAATGGAGAAAAGCTATGCCTGCTATTTTTCTTGTCACTATTGTTTTTGGTTGCTTGTCAAATCTTCAACTTAGATTGATTGGAATATATTCTTGTTTATCGTTTGTTTAGATAGAGAATGAGGATGACATTCTGTGGACGCCTGACATTAGGGAGAAGAATGAAGAAGTGGCATCTAGGGGACTGAAGTTTTTGAACTGGTGATTACCTTAATTCATTTCACTAAATTTCTGGTAGCTGCATGCTTTATTATTCACGATCAGTATAAGAATCTTTGAGGAAAAGAAAAGGTGAAAGGAAGGCTATGTCACAGAGCACACTAGAATGATTTATAAACTTAACTCAAAATTGGGGTGAACAACATGAACTCTTTTGTCCAAAGCCATAATATCCATATATTAGTATTACAGCATAATCTCTTCATGTCCTTTATGCTTTGGGTATGCCACATGGATTTTGAGGAGGTGCTAGCATGCTGTAACTGTTGTTTTCTTACAAGTTCAGTTATAAGTATTATGATATTCTCATCACGCTGTTTTTTCACCTGAAGCACCTTGATTTGTTACACAAATGTCTTAGCATGCCCCGCTTACTGTGGTTTCCCCTTGTAGATGAAATCATTTGGTTCAATCTTGCATAGCTTCTGCACATATAGCATACATTTTTTTCATTATCATTTTCAGGGTTGACCAATTTCTGAAATTAAAAAGGGAAATGATGGAATTGTTTAGTTTTACAATGAATCTAATAGATCATACTATTTTGTGACCTTACATGTCAATGATTTGAATTATAGATTTCAGCCATCAACTCTTTTGACATTGGTTCTTGTATTGGCAATATGGAAAGGTGTTCACTGATTTTTCTTTTCCCACTTTCAATTTGTCCAGGTTGTGGACACGTAAAGAGAAGGAGATTGCAATTGTTACCCACAGTGGATTCTTGTATCATACCTTGAGTGCTTTTGGAAATGATTGCCATCCATCGATAAAGAGTGAAATATGCACACAGTAAGTGTTATGGTGGCTCTTTTATCCCTACTTTTAAGTCAACAGCATGAAATCTTTTATGATAATAATACACTACGAGAATAAATAACTGAGCTGCTTTTTGCTGCATTTTCAAGCTCTGTTCTTGATTACATTCTGTATGGTGTCTGTATGTGTGAGAATTATTCAGAATGTTCTTGTACATTCTGAATATTCATGTTTGTTAGTTCAATGATATTTACTTCAATCTATCAATAAACACAATAATATTTGCTTCAATGTGTTTTGCGTTTTTTTAAATATTTGTTATTTAGAAATAGCCACTCTATTCTTTTGTTTGATGCTTCATAGGTGGAACTGTATCCTTATTTTCCTTTAAATGTAACTATTCCCTGCATATTGTGATGTCTAGATCTGGTGGTGCTCCGTATCTGGTCATAACTACTATTTTTGCTAACTAAACAGTTGCACACTTGCCCATCAGGCTACTAGTTCTATTACATTGTTCTGCGCTGGAAATGTTTATAATCATATTAGTGTAAAAGCGTTCCTCATGTTTAGGATCGTTAGTTTTTACATGGAGGAGGATGAGTCCTTTTCTTTTCTCTTTGTGTTTTTTGGATGAATACTAAGCTTAAGAGTGGAATTCTGTTTATGCAGCTTTGCCAATTGTGAGCTTCGCTCGGTGGTAATTGTTGATAGGAGGTGAGCTTGTAGTAAACAAAACCTTGAGAACATATATTAGCTTATGCAGAATTTTAATCTTTTGTCTCCTCTATGCAGTTTGATGGGGTCTGATTCTTCGACAACTAATTATCCTGGAAAAATTCCTCAGGGGCCTGACCTTCCTAGTGACATTGCAGATGAGAAGCAATCAGAGAAGGGTGCTTCCAAGTAAATATAGCCCATGATGATGGACATTCTCACACACTTAATATGAATATTCTGAAGCCTTGATTTTTCAGGGGCTGGTGGAGATTCATGTTTTTCTTGGTTATTTTTCTAGGGGAGACAGAAATTTAGTTCTTTTAAGGTTTGCTTGGCTCTGTTAGGCAATTTGAAGATTCTTGTTTTTGGAGCCTTACAGATACATTGGGTTAACCTGAATATCATTGATGGTTTTAGAAGTTCCATGTATTTTTTTTAAAGATAAACATCTTTTATTAGTACCATCTCCAACACTTTATGACTTCTCTCCCCTTTTCCTTCTCTTATTGTTTGGGCTTCAGTATGAAATGTCTTCTTCTACATCTGACGGATAATCTGGGTTTTGTTAGACTTTGATCAACTTATACATTTATAAGGTTTTTGTCGGCATAGGTCTATGCCGGAGATTTAGACCTCTCCTGGCGAAATTTATCTCTACCGAAGAAATGTCATTGGGAGAGGTTTTTAAAAAAATAAATATGAACTTTGTATCTTTAGGTCAATAATCTGTTTTAAACTTTAATTTCTAGTAATTAAGTAGTATCTTAAAAAAATATTTAAAGGGTCTAGCCGCGCGGCTGTACTATAAACTAATTCGATTTATAGTATAGGCGACCGGCTATACTGTCAAAATAGTATATTTAAAGAGTACAGCCGCGCGGCTATACTATTAAACCAATTCTATTTATGAAGTATAGCCGCGCGGCTATACGAGACACTGATTCTATTTCTAGAATACAGCCGGCCGGCTGTACTGTTAAAATATTATAATTTATACCTGAATCTGTGAAAATGTAAATACATAAAAACCGAAATTAAAAAAGAAATCAATGAACATTAGAAATGGTGATGCGGTGGCTATGGGGATGCTGAAAATGTATAAAACTTAAATAAATATGTGAATGTGGCAATTAATCATTCAACTGGTGGGCACAAATAAAAACAAAATGGGTAAAAGAAAGACAACTTTTATGTCAAAAAAAAAAAAAAAAAAAACCTTAAAAGCCGCGTGAACGCACTTGCAGTTGGGATCTCCAACGGTCGGAAAATCTTGTGTTGTTAGTTTAGTTGCTTGGGGCCAAAGCTACTAAAATTCTAATCTCAAAATTTGAATCACACACAGATACGACGAAGTGAAGTGAGCGAGTGCCATTTGACAGTTGGGTTTAAACACCGCCTTATATATTTCTCTCCGATCACAATTTGGAAACTTATTCTCTCTCTCTCTCTCTCTGTGTCTGTGTGTGAATGTGAAAGTGAAAGTGAAAACCCAGTTGAGTTGAGTTCACTCACTGAGGAAAGAAAATCTGTGAAACCCTAACCCCATTCTCTCATTCTGAGTAGGGTTTATTTCTGTGAATTTGAAGCGTTCTGTTTTTGCTCTGTTCTTTTTTTTTGGGTGAAAGTTCTTTTTTGTTCTTTTTGGATCTGGGAATGAAAGGAAATATGAAGGGTGATTTTCATTATGGGTCGATTTCAAATTCTTCGAATCTTCTGTAATACGTTGAGAAGACCATGGCCATGGCCGTGAGAAGCTGCTGCGGCAACCCACTTCATCGGTCTAGAATTGGATTTGATGGGTGGTTGGTTCCTGAGAGGGACATGGTCAGGAAGATAAACAAAAGGGCTTCATCATCATTATCTTCTTCTTCTTCCTTGGATATGTTGGCTGAAGTTGCAACCCAACAATTGATGGAGTTGGAGGGTTGGAATGGACTCACAACCAAGTGGGTTTTTGACGAAAAAACTGTTATTGCAGAATTCATCAGTTTCTGTGCTAAAAAGAAAATGTCAGAGTTGAAAACATTCCCCTTCAGTGACATTAACATACCCAAGAAGAAAAGGTCAAGTATGAGGACTCAAAGAAGATTTTTGCCACATGCTTCTCATGATTCTGTCCAAAGTGTAAGTTGTATGAATATGAAAAGGAAGAGACTTTCTTCTCATTCTGGGAGTGATCATCAAGACTACAACAATGAAGCATTAGTGCAAAAGAAACAAAAGCTGGTTCATGTGCAAAGTAGTGCAGATTTGAAGTTACCATCATCACCGAAACCAAAGATGCCTCAAGACATGAAAAACATGATTAGTCGCAGTGGTGGTGGAGACCTCAAATTATTAATGGAGAAGGAACTTTTTGATACTGATGTGGCTGACAATAACCAACAGTTTTCCATACCGATGAAGCAGGTTAGAGAGGATTTTCTTAGCGAAAAGGATCAGACTGAGTTGAAGCTACGTTCTGGTCACAATGAGATAGTGCAGCTCTGGTCAATGAGTCGTAAATCCCAACTTCGCTTTGCGCTTGTTAAGGTTAGCACGACAAAACTAGAAGTTCAGCAATGTGAACATGGTGCAAGCACCTGTAGCAGTAGCCAAAGTGGACAAACGGGCTCCTACATTTCTTGTATTAGCCAAGACTGTTGGTACATACATATAATGAGTAGGGTCTTTTATTTTCAACAGATTCTTTTGGTTTCTTGCCTATGAAACCAATTCTTTGATTCGTTACGCTGCAAATCCCTTTCTTTAATTCAATTGTCTTGTTATTTATGCAAGATTGGCTATACTGTTGTAATCTCTTCAATGGAATGATTAGAATCTTGAAATAATTTTAGATGTGGAAGTTACAGCCAAGGCCGCAACTTTCTTTTTTATTCGTTTAGATAGTTGTCATTTCAGGGGCTGGTTGAGAATAGTCCTTTTAGGCAATTAAGATTCTTTTTTTTGGAGTCCTATAAATGCGAAGCCAGTGAAAATAGCTATGAAGAAGCATTTGAAAGATGCTAAATATCACAACTTTCATTAACACGTATCTCAATCACTTTGTCTCTTCCCCTTTTATATCTTCTCTTATTGTTTGGGATGAAAAAAGAAAAATGTTACGGACTCAGCCCGTTATCATATTAATGTTCATCCTCAATGTAACTTTTAAGGCATTCAAGTTTGGATATATCCATATCAAAAATGTAAAAATGCATACTGTACAAGTATTTGTGAAACTATAACCTCATTACAACTAATTCTACTGCATATTTTTTGCCCAAAACGGAGAGGGGAAAATCCAGAAAACAGTTAATTGATTTTATAGGACCACAAAATGTTTACCCAGATTGGACAACCGAGGCTTCATTTGAACTATGATCTCATGACAAATATGAGAACGTATCCTACAATGATAGAGAGGAGAAGGAATATAACAGCAGCCATGATGTTGACATTAGACTGTATAGATTTTCGGCTACTTTCTCCCCTCAACATGTCGAGTCCACTCTTCTCCAAACAGGACCTAGATGCCGAGGAAAAAGGCACCGCCACATCCCAAAAAGATTTGGCAACTGTAGATGGGGCTTCTATTTCAGGTTCCAAGATTGCTGAGTCATCTGTTGGAGCTTCCATAGACAACAACTCGACACATCGATCTTTTAGAACCTAAGGGAGGATGGAAAGCACAAGGTCAGAGCAAGTAAGACATTGAACTGAAAAGAGATTAACTGAAAAGCTCATGTTGCTCAAAATCTTGTCCAATACAGAGCTATTCAGAACTACAGACAAAAAGGGTGCAACACCCTTGCATTTTCCAATTTTCTGTTTGTAGGTGTTCTTCTTTTTTTCCTTTTATTAGAAGTAGAAACCTCAGTTATCAAGTAATAAGTACAAACCTCAAATGTCTCAGATGGTTGTAGGTAGTCGCACACAAATGTACCCGCCAACCAAGGAACAAAGACTCTTCGGGGAAGTGAAAGACTGCATGTTTCTCTGTTTTAAAATGCATAACAAATGTGGTCAGTGTGCCAACTTATGTTCAGCAATGTGACATAAAAAATCACCGATGTTTAACGGAATTTTGGCCATAAATCTTGATTCAGATTTCACCCTTCTGCTTGATGAAAAGAAATATAAACCCACTAACAATATAGAATAAGCTGATGGTGCAAGAAACAATGAGTAGCAGCTTGCAGGGAATATTAATATAAAATCTTGAAAGATAGTAATCCTTAATTTATACAATTTTATCTCCAACAGGAGATTCATAAAATTTTGCAGTGAAGGTGGCAGATTTCCAGACAAAGATTTAGTTGGTAGCCTAAAGGGCCTCACAGAAAACTTTAAGTAGCTACCAGTGAAACTACCCACATAATGAAAGGGGAGGGAGAAAAGAGGGGAGAGGAAGAGGGGAAATGGGAAAGGGGGTGGTCAGCATATCTCCTGTAGTACAGGTTACTAGTATCGTGATATCAATCAGTCATCATGCTGCAGCTGATGAAATGAAACACATTGTGCAACACCATAATATTTACAGAATCATTCCGATATACAAAAAAGTTGGTGAAGTTAATGACCAAATTGCTTTAGTTATTCACTCAAAGAAAATATATTCAACCAAATTGCTGAAATGTAATCAAATTTGAGACATGCTTATCTAAACTACCAAATTTGAAACATGCTTATCTAAACCACCAAATTTCAAACGTGCTTATCTAAACTACCAAATTTGAAACATGCTTATCTAAACCACCAAATTTGAAACGTTCTTATCTAAACCACCATACAACATGCTTTTAAAACATGGATTATAACAAAAGGACTATGGAAACGCAGAGATCGGCACATAATCAATCATCATTCATCATATTCATAGCGAACCTCTAGTTTTATTAAAACATTAGAAAAATAGTAACATAGCAGGCATAATAGACCTGAACGATTGAAGAACAACTTGAAAAACAGGTGTTCCACTGGATATCCCATCTATTGCTTCCTGGCTACCAGTATCATCTCTTGCTTGCTGGCCACCGGTTTCAGTTGGACCTGTCTCTCCATCTGCTTCATCACAGATGATATCTAGTCTACTCTGCAGACTCATGATAATGTCATCCTACAAACATAAAATCAATTCATGATTTTACAGAATATGAGCACACTAAGCAATTAAGATAGTAAACACAATCGCATGAAAATATCTAAAAACAAGGCCATTGTGCCGATAATTAGCACACAACACCATTTAGTAGTCATATAAATTTTCTAGACAATACCAGAAGTCTTAGTGAAACACATCAGAAGTCTTAGTGGCCAGCTTCCCCACGTGAAACGTTCCATCCAAGATAACACAACTTTGAGATCATGGGTTAAACAATTTTTCATCATATAATAGAAAAAAGTTACTTAAATAGATGCTGAGATTTCCAGAATATGCACAAGATCGAGCCAATTGTTTTAAATTGACAGATCTAGCTATTGCGTTCAGGTACATTGGAATTCAAATCTAGTACATTACAGCTTCTCTCAATGTGTCCAGCCCCAGTGGTATCATCCAAGTTTATTGGAACTCTGGAACCAATATGCATTATAGATTTCGGTACCCAACCCTACTTAGGAAATCCTTGCAATAAAGTTATGGATTGATGATGAAATTGGCAAGTTCCCACTCGGACATTTGACCCAAACTACTTATTTACCAGAACTAAGTTAAATATAAATAAGAAATTATTTTTTTAATTTTTTAATATAAAAGAGCATTAAGGGTTGGCTCAAGCGTTCAAAACATATTATGACATCAAATGAACATGATTTTCTTTCTTTTGTAAAGACATCTCAATATGAATAAGGTTAATTAGGTTTAATCTACCCACGAGCTAATCTAAGATGTTATATAAAGACTTTTATATATTCCATCCTGATGCAGGAGCATCTACAAGGCCCTCCAAGAGTACTTGGGCCCGTTAGCCAATTGGGCCAGGATTCTAGTTCCTTCAAATGATTAGTCACTTCTTTTGTTTTCCTATTCTTACTAGGATTTGGTTTTAAATTTCCTTTTTCAATTAGGTTTTCTTAATAAACTAGGAAATGCTAGGCTGGTGTGCTCTAGTATAAATAGGTGATTAAGAGATTCTTGTATTCAGTTTTGTTTACGAATAGAATTTCAGACTTTAGTCTGTAAAGTTTTTTTTTTTTGGATTTTTGCCCTAGAACTCATTTATCTTCGTTCCAACTTCTATCCTAGTGCTTTATCCTACTATTCTCTGTATTTTGGAATGTTTGGGTCGCTGGACAGCAGCTTATAGCCGCTGCCCTGCATCACATCCAACCAATATCACAAACTTTGATATTCAATTCTTATCTGAATCTTACTTCTAAACAAGCATGCACACCCTATGACGCCCAATGACAATGAAGTACAGTCAACTAGTGATAAATGTGAATTCAAATAGCCTTTAGAAGCTAAACTAATAATTAGTTTTCGGTCTAAGATACGGGGGATTAAAAGTGATTATCTATTGTATACCTTTATATCAGCAACAGCTTGTGAAATTGGTTCTTTAGGATTTATAAAGGCAAAGGAACACACAGAACCACTCAAAGCAAGAACACCAACGGCTTCTTTTTGGCTGCAGGCTTTACACAATAGATGAATGTTAGAATATAAACTCAATATGGAAGAAGCAATTCAAGAAAAGAAAAGAACAAATGAACAAAATATTCCCAAAATTAAATGATGCATATACACACCTTCAGTATCTTTCATAAATGGTAAAAGCAGTTCAACTTCATGCAGACCATCTGATGTGCAAAGATCATTGTTAAAAACCTAAAGTTGTATTCAAGACAGAGAAAACCATATGAGAACTTGAGGTTAAAAGAGTCAACCTAAAAACCATGCTTATTGATTGTGGAAAATAAAGGGGAAAAACAAAATTAAACATTTGGTTTAAAAGAAGTTGGATCTATGGCTTAAAGTACACCATTACACCTGACAAAGATCAAGGCTTTTAGGTAAATATTTTCTTACAGTTAGCAAATGGTTACATTTCCTCGTATTTATATGTCTTCACAAAGGTAAGCAGTAAAATTGATACCCAAAAAAAAAACCTTTGAAAACAATAATGTGGGTTACAACTATCAGCTATCAAAGTTTCAATGAACACAAAATCTTGCGAATAAGTAACTGATTGCATATGACTCAACAGCATGACTGTCAACATAACTGCACTATCAAGCATCAGAAATTTTTTTATCCACAAAGTGGTAAAAGGTTTACTTATGAGTAAGTTTATCTGTTGATAGATGTAAATAGTGATTATAACCTGGCTTAAAAAAATAATTTAGAGAAGCACAAACCAAACAATCCTTGTCATATGACGCACTGTGTCAACTTTCTACACCTAAAATTACTTAATATGCGACACTTACTGTGTTCAGATATCATAAGTAACTTTCTACAGCACACTCCTGATATCAGCTACGTAGAATTAGTATACTTCTATCAACTTGCAAAGAAGACATCCAAGTTGAAAAGAACAAGTTGCATATGCAACGGAGACTCAAAAAACTATTTTGGACTTTAAGAGAAATGTTTAGCCATTGTAGCGCCAGAGACATCAACATATCATATAACAAACTCAAGGTCATCCAGAACACTAACAAGACTCGAGGTCATCCGGAGCATTAACAGGCATGAGCAGGTACGACACTTTTGCATATTCGTAAAAGGTGTACAGTGATTTTAAAAACCAACAACTCAATGAGCTACTTACCAAATTTCCATCATACATAGCTTTTGCACTTTTAAGATCTTTTGCATGAACTGAAATTCCCTGACGAAGCGCTTCACTAAAAGTTTGAACATTTGATAAATTCTTGTGAAATATGGGCAATCTGGGAAAGAATAACTACCATGAGACAACCTAAATACCATTATGCGCTAGTACTGGAATAAAGTATACTATAATTAAATTGGATATGACCTTCAGTACTACGAGAGCATAATATTCTATTAAGTGGCCCAGGTAGAACCTCAAAATAAGCCAAAATAAAATAAAAGTGCAGCAGACAGGCAGAAAGAAACGGGGATCAACTTCAGTGTTGTCTTTGGACGTGACGTAATAAGGGATAAGAGATAAACTAAAATAATGAATAACATATGTAGCTTAGTTTATAAGGTTCAAGAGGGCTCCAGTATCACCATTGTTAGATATTGTTATACTTGATAGTTGAATCATCAGATCATTGTTTGCTTTCGTTTGGACTGAGATCATTGTTTACTTTAACTTCAATTCAAACGGAATGATGGGTCCTAAATTGTAGTGCATGTGAAAGTCACATTAAATTATATTTGAAAAGTTTTAAGATATCAATTTCCCTTTTTTTTTTTCCTCTTAATAAGAAAAGCAGACAGTACCTGATATCAAAATTGTACATGCACCTAAATCTTTGAAGGGAATTTAGGACCCTTCCCATTTTAAAATCACAAGGCCTTAGGCTGCTTGATGTAATGTTTGAAGCAACTGCACAATTTCGACATGTCCACCTACAGAAATAGCCTCTTTAGTCAAATACCCTTTGACAATAACTAAGAGAGCATAATTGGGACAATAAACAATTATCGAATTCAGGTAGGGAAGTTACCTCCTTGGACTATAACAGATGTGAATAAGCAGTCTCTCATCCCAATCACTCTCTGAGAGGGGCGCTGCTTCGGCAACTCCCATTACAGTCTGCAAAGGGCCTTTTCCATTAATATGTATTAAAAGTCATTTTTTCCCAGTATATGCATAGGATAACTTTAAAGTTTAAAATGAATATAACCAGTCCCGTATTTATCATAGCTGACCCATTCTTTGCAAGTAAACCAGCCAAGAATACTTTTTCTGTTAGATATTATAAAGTTTCATTACAGAGAACCTGACCAGGTTCTCCTTGGTCAATGCAAATTAACATGGCCATGAGGGCTATATTATATTAGGTTTTTTAAAGTGAAAAGGGAACATCAACTAAAGCCAATGGTCGTATTATACCTAATTTCATGAAATTCATCTTTACTTGATAGGCCTTATAGAATGTATCAAAATCTAACAGTCAAAAGTTAAAAATGGATATCCTGCATTCACCAATCTATCTCTTATTTTTCCTTCCTAGATATTTTCTCTGTCACTAAGTGGAGCACTGCCCGTTTAAAGCCATCCATCCTTCTGGACATCAAGCAAGCTCGTAAAGCCACAGTCCCAAAATAGCATGCTACACAGCAATCAAAATCAAACTCTGCTAAAAAACATAGATATACCAAACAAGATTAATCCAATTCAGGGCCAAAAGAATACCTGGCAAAGCGTAATGTTGGAATTCTTAAATGCACTTTCACTGGCCCAGATGTAAATGCCAACCACCTTCATGCCACCCACTAACATTCTAGACACCTAAAATACCATAAAATGCATACACAAGCACAATGAACAAGACCCAAACCATATCAAAATTAGATTTTATAGATACAAACAATATAAAGTAGGAATATACAAATATAACTATGCATATATAGGAACATTTTTATATGTAATTGACCTGGCGAGCATGTTCTGCGACCCAATCCTTGTCAATGGAGAGAGAGGAGGAATCGGAGGACTGAGATTTGGGCTTGGGTCCCTTTCTCTTGTCGTCCTTGGTGGGCTCGACAAGGGAACAAGCAGGCGCTCCGGCGTCGTTTGGTGGGGTTGGGACGATATCGAAGACGAAGCCTCGGTCTAGAGAAGAGCTGAGCTTGCCTATGAGGAGACCGACCTGAATTTGCATAGCAAACAAAAACCGTAAAACTCAGAATCAGCCATATTTCTCTCTTTGTGAGTGAGAGAGAGAGAGAACCTGGGCAGGCGTAGAGGATTTCTCGAGGCGATCCTCAGCTAATTTGAGCTGGGTTTCTTCTCCGACCACTGCTTTCACCATTGCTGTACGGACTCTATGTTTTTCTTTTCCTGGTTCGATCGATGAGTGAGTGGAAGTCGTTTCTGAGTTTAACTGACGAAATCGTCCATGGGCCAGGCCGGGCCTGGAAGACCCGCCCATCAGAACATGGTCCTGGGTCGGCCCATCTAAGCAAGAAACATGTAATTATTAAAGATTTTCTTGAGTTAAAATTTCTCTACTAAAATATGTATTCATGCTTTCAATTCGTATAATCTAAATATAAAGGAACTCCTAAAGTCAAATTGAATTGAAGTTTAAGTCGATGCTAAAGTCGCTTAATTCCCAAGGTTTTTGTGTGTTAATTTTGCGACCAAGATGCTATATTTAATTGAGATTTTGATTTATTTTTTTTACTCTTCACATAATATGATCAAGTTTAGCTATTGTTGACCCAACATTGGCCTCAACTTTCACTAATACCCACCTCGTGTGTAAGAAAATGAATCACTAGAAAATCCAAAAGAATCTACAAAAGTATATTCAAATCATTTTACGATAAAAGTTTAACAAACTCCATTAAAATTCATTGACTTTGCATAAGTTTATAACTCTTTAAAATCCATTAAAAATTCAGTGCAATACACAAGTCGATTCCTTCACTTGTTCACGTCACCTTTTTTTATGGATTTAGATGAAATTGGCTAAAACTAAAGACAATGGCTAAATTGGCGATTAAATTTAGTACCAAGGCTAAATTGATTGAAAAAAATAATTGAGGGTGTTAAATTCGACAAGTGTGACAGATCATGGTGGTATTCGGAAGTTTAGCCCTTCTAAAATAGCTAAAAGCGTTTTTTGAAAATAAAAAAATACTTTTGAAAATATTTGGCAGAAAAATTTGAAAATACTTCATGTAGAGTAATATTGTCAAACAGATCAGGTCGACTAGAGTATGGCACGAGCCCGACCCGATTAAGTCTCATTGTTGGTTGCATGAAAGAGATCAAAGTACATGGAACAGAGCATTGGATAAACTAAGAGAAACACTAGATGCTTGCGGTTTTTATGCACATTCTCCTTTTTGAGAAAGCTGTTCTAGTTATTGATTTATTGGGCTTTCTATATACGCATAATTGGATCCAACGAATGGGACAAGAAGTTGTCCGCTGAGTTTTGATTCATACCTTTGACTAGAGGTATCCGACGGACCGTGCTGGGCCGTTTAAAGTAGGCCTAGTAGTCTACGGATTATTGAATGGGCTCAATTTTTCCAACGGGCCGACTCGTTTAAATCCCAATTATTAAATTATATTTATTTTAGAGAGAAATTATATATACATTTTTTCTTGAGAAAAATAAAAATAAAACATAATATTATTGTATTTATATCTTAAAATTCAAGCCTATTTATTTTCTCTAATACTATATTAAAATTCAATGTTTACTTTATAAATTAAATAATGATTTTATTTTTAAAGTTTGAATTTTTCAAACCTGAACAATAGTCTAGCACTTTTCTGTTTAAATGTACTTCAAATTAGGGAGATTTGCTATTATACCCAATATAGGAGCCCAAATTATTAAAAAAAACTATATATGAAATGGACTTTAGAAACACACCCAAAACTCATTTACAACATAACAAAAAGGCTTTTAACTTATTTTAAATTACAAAACTGCCATTGATTTCTTCAAACAAACTCAACCCCAAAACCTCATAACAAAGCCAAAAACACTCAATAGGGCATCAAAGTAATTTAATAATCAAAATTAAATTTAATAGGGCCAGCGTCATTTTTTGGGTTTTTTTGGGGTTTGTTTATAGAAATTAAATGGTGTATGGTTTATCTATATTATTAGTGCTAAGAATAGGTATACGACTAAATATAGGCATTGACATATGTTGGGGTCTTTTTCTGTCGGAAGGCTCGTTCAGGCTTGTTGATGCTCGGACCGCCATAGAGTGGTGGATCAAGCATTCGTTGCCCCTTTTTCTGAGTTAGCGAGGACAAGGCCCAAAGCATCCCGAGAGAGAAGCATGTCCTAGGGGAGTACTTTGTTCTTCTTCCAGCAGCTGGGTGTTTGGTGTTGACGTTTTCGGTAGCTTGACGAAGAGTTGAAGATGACTTCCTGATGTTTTCGGCAGCTTGACGAAGAGTTAAAGATGACTTGCTAATGTTGATATGAATTTATATGAGCTTGGCATGAGAGCTTGGAGTGTGGGAGCTAAAGATCCATAAGTTTAGCAAATAAGAATGCATGTGCTTGGCTTGGTGTTGGATACACTTGAGTTTGGGTGTTGATAATTTGTTGTTTGTGGCTATGGTGTTTATAACTTGGAAGGAAGGGAAAGCTTAGAGTTATATCTGATGAGGCTTTATGGATTTAAGAGTTTCAAGAAAAGGATAATGGGAGGAAAAGCTTGAGGTTTGAAGGCTATGGTGTTTATAGCTTGGAAGGAAGGAACATGGTTTGATGGTTGCTGGGGTGCTTGAGAAACCAAGAGGTGTTGGTCGATGGCTGCTGGGATGCTTGCAGCAGCCAAAGGATGAAGGTTGATGGCTGAGATGGCCGCTGGAACGCTTGCAGCAATTGAAAGGAGGAAGGAATATGAGTTTTCATGGTTGCTGAGAAGCTTGCAGCCACCAAGAGAGACTGATTTTTGCCTAGCAAATGCCTCCCAATTTATAGAGGGTGAGAGTTTTCCTTTATTTCCAATAGGCAAAGAGAGGTGCTGGAACCAGCCTATTTCTAATGAGTAAAAGGGAGAGTTGGGGCATGCTATTTTCCAGCAGGCGAAGCTAGGTAACATAAACTGATTATTTCATATGGGTAAAAGGAAGCGTTGGAAATGGCTTGTTTCCAGCGGGTAATAGGGAGTGCTGGAAAAGACTTGTTTCCAACGGGTAAAGCTAGACATTTGGAAAATGGCTATTTCCTATGAGTAAAAGGAAGTGCTTGAAAAATATCTCATTTGCTCACCCAAATTGGAGAACTCTAAGTAATGAGCTTGGACTTTGGTGCTCCCAAGTAGTTAGCCCAAAGTCTCCATTATCCAAGAGCTTCTGTTGGCCTTGTGGACCTCCGTAACCTTCCACACCACAATCCCTCGTGCAAGCCCCGTAAACCACATGACTTGGGTTCATGTGAGCTTGATAGGTGATTGACATATGAAAAATGTATTATTGGCCTCGCATGACATTGACACTCTTATTTATTTAATGAATTAATTCACAAAATACAACTTGGATTAACGCATGACCAACATTTTATGTTATTTTGGACTTTAAATGTCTTTGGGCTTCTCGTGACTTTTTTGGGCCTCAACAACATCTTTTTTCAACAATTAATAAATCTTGTTAGTATATACATAATTGTAAAAGAGACTGAAATGAAATTGTTAAAAAAAAATGCAATACATAAGTCAACCTTGGCATGAGCTTTTATCTACTCGTTTAGTGGCTCGACACGAGCTCGACCCAGTCCTATATATGCTAGGGTTGTGGGCCCAACCTGACTTAATAATTTTTATTAATGGATGGACCTGACTTGATCCATTTATTAAATGGGCCTACTCTAAATGTTTGCCCGACCTGTTTGATACCTCTGCATAGTACATAAACACTTGAATTTAATAAATTTCTTTTTTGAATACAAGTGATTGTCTAAACTACATGGGAGGGGGATTTCTCACACACACACAACTATAATGTAGTGGGGATTCAAACCTGAGATTTCTGGTGTGCAAATGAAGACCTTTTTTTACTAGGCTATACCATGTCGACTAAATTTAATAAAATTTTAATGTGCCTATAAAGTGCTTATAGAAAAGCAAAGCACTTATGAGCACTTAAGCAGTGCCAAACACATGCATAAAAGATTATTTTACCCATTACCTTTTTGATAAAGAAGATATTTATTTTAGGGTTATTTGTAGCAATGGTCCCTCAACTATACTCGGAGTTACATTTTGGTCACTCAACTCAAATATTAGTTGTAGAGGTCACTCAATTGGGTGTTGTGTTGCACCATTAGTCCTTACCATCAAGTCTCTCTAACAGTAGAGACTAATGATGCAACACAACACCTAATTGAGTGACCTCTGTAATTATTTTTGGAGTTGAGTGACCAAAATGTAACTTCGAGTATAATTGAGGGATCATTGCTATAAATAATCATAACTGAAAAGTCACATTTGCCCGTCAATAATCTAAGAGATGCTTGTCACGTCATCATTTTAAACATAAAAAGTCACAGACTTGCCGGTATGGACTAATGATGCAATACATCCAATTGAGTGACCTCTGCAATTAATATTTGAGTTGAGTGACCAAAATGTAACTATGAGTATAGTTAAGGAACCATTGCTACAAATAACCCTTAATTTAAGCTAAACTAATGAAATTTTGTCCATCACTTACAGAAAAAACGTCTATTGATTGATCCTTAATCTTCCTTGATTATCCATTAAAAGTTTCCATTATTTTCATTTAATCATAGAAAACATGATTTCATAATGCCACCCCTTTTCCTTATCTTGATTTTTTTTCCCTTTCGATTTATGCAAAACAACAAAAAATTATAGTTTGCTTTGCAGATGTTGTGAACCAGGGTAAATTGGTTTAAGATGAGAGGTTGGGGTGGGCGGTGGCGACGACAAGGTGGGGTGGACCATGGGCAGTGCCTTCGAGAGAGAATGCAGAAAGAGAGTAGAAGGGAGGGGTTTTTTTTTTTCCCTTTAAAAAACAAAAACTTAATTGTTATTATTATTATTATCTCACATTTAAAAGTTTTTATTTCATTTTATAGTATTTAATTATTTTTAAAGTATGAAATGACCAATTTATCCTCATATTTAACGATAAATTGGATGAAATATTTAGACAGCAGGGAGATTGTTGAAAAAGAGTTCATACCTTTAATTTTAAAAATAAAAATAAAAATAAAGGTCAATTGAAAATTAAGTACAAATTCAATAGACAAATCACCCATTTGGCCTAAAAAATAAAATAAAATCCAGAGAATTTTCTTTTTTTCTTTGTTGGAGAGAATTTTCCTTCTAGAAAGTTTAGAAACTGATGCCAAAGCATTGTAAATAAAAATAAA